ACCCACATGTCACTTTACAAACTAACCCAAAGATAATAGTAACATATGAACCTCAACAATGTGTAGTACTAAGGTAATAATGACAAATTAAACTAACCCACATGTTCTACTTTACAAAGTAACCCAAAGATAATAGTAACATATGAACCTGAACAATGTGTAGTACTAAGGTAACAATGACAAATTAAACTAACCCAAAGATAATAGTAACATATGAACCTGAACAATGTGTAGTACTAAGGTAATAATGACAAATTAAACTAACCCACATGTTCTACTTTTACAAAACTAACCCAAAGATAATAGTAACATATGAACCTCAACAATGTGTAGTACTAAGGTAATAATGACAAATTAAACTAACCCACATGTTCTACTTTTACAAAAGTAACCCAAAGATAATAGTAACATATGAACCTGAACAATGTGTAGTACTAAGGTAACAATGACAAATTAAACTAACCCAAAGATAATAGTAACATATGAACCTGAACAATGTGTAGTACTAAGGTAACAATGACAAATTAAACTAACCCAAAGATAATAGTAACATATGAACCTGAACAATGTGTAGTACTAAGGTAACAATGACAAATTAAACTAACCCACATGTTCTACTTTTACAAAACTAACCCAAAGATAATAGTAACAAATGAACCTGAACAATGTTTAGTACTAAGGTTATAATGACAAATGAAACTAACAAATGATACTTAAAATAAAAAATTAAAATATAATTTTTTTGCCAATTGTCAAAATAAAAGGCTTTTACATATACTTCTTAATAGCATGAATATATACTGTGTTGTTGTTGGGCTTAGGATTCTTCTACAGTAGGTGTCTGTGAGTTGTTGACGGTAAATGAACAGCACACATTTCACTTGTTTTCAAAATAATATATATACATATATATATATTTGGAACAAGTTAAATATACATACAACAAATTCTTCACACTATAGAGATTACAGGCATATCATAAACACGATATATAGAGTTCTCTTCTTCTTATCAAAAGTCCACTTAGGCCTATTCAATTGCTTCAGAATTTCAGTTGACAAGCTGAACTATCTTCTTAATATTACTATTGCACTAGTATTCTGTGTGTGATTCACTTACAATTGTGGTGCAAATTACTGTAATCGTTTGGTCTTCTTTCTTCTAAATATCCTCTGTTCCTTTTGTCAAAGTGTACTCAGACTGATTCAATTACTTTAGAACCACGCTTTGATGGAATAAATTATTATTCTTATCTCCTTTTTTACTGTTAGTCTTACTCTAACATATTAAATGTTAGGCCTATGTTAATCATTAGGCCAATCACTTCTACAGTAGTTAATTTTACGCCAAACTTTTCCTTGCCCTTAACTTTACTCTCTTTTGCTATTGTCTGTCTGCTGTTTCCACTCATCTCACACTATTTATATCTCTATCACTTAATCATCTGCCCACCTTCTAGAAATCTCTATATTCTTGATGTTAATGTATTGCACGTGACGGTTGATAGTCTCAACAACAGTGAATTATAAACACAACTTTCTACATTCGTCTGCTTTTTAACTCTTATTATTACAAAAACTAAACAATAATAAAATATTCACTCACAAAATAAATTAATCAATAATATCTGAACTAAATAGTCTTTTATATCTTGACAGAAACTAATCCATAGGTAACACTGACATAAACTAATACAGAAGTAATTCTGACACATGAAACTAACTAACAGGTAATTTTTGCATACAAAACATAACTACAGGTAAGACTGACATATCAAAATAAATCACAGTTAATACACACAAACAAAACTAGTCCTGAGTAATACTGACAACTGAAATTAACTTGTGTAATACTAACATAGAATACTAAACCACAGAAAATACTGATATGCATGAAAACTAGAGGTAGTACTGATATGCATGACTACAGCATAAATTGTTCAAACATGTAAAACTAACCCACAGATAATACTGACATATGACTCATCAACATGTAATACTGACAAATGAAACTAAACAACAGGTAATACTGACAAAAAGAATAAAAAGCACAAGTAATGATAACATAAGAAACCCAATTACAAGTATTATTAACAAACTAAACCACAGGTAACACTGACATAACCTATAAACTCACAACCATTGTGAGGAATATGAAACATAAATCTACTCTAATAATATATCACAAATGAAATAGATGATCTCATACCCCCCCCCCAAGAAAAAATGTTCTTCCAAAATTGACAACAAACACCTGTTCTGAACTTACTACAATTCTGCATAATACACATAAATGTAACTCATTAGTTTATGTTTGTTGCTATGTTTTCTGATAATAATTTTTTAACTATAGCTAGACGTGTGGTTTCTTCCACCAGTCAAAACAAGAGGCTAGCAATAACTCTCTCTCTCTCACTACAGGCTCAGTCGAATCAGCCAGGTTCATGACCCCAAATTGACCTTTACAGTTTTGATAACTTCTAATATGTTGTTTGTATCTTCACAAAATTTTTCAAGCTTTCAATAGGCATTAAGTCTTGTGTGGACAAAATAATCAGAATTTTTAACCTTGTCAACATGTTTCCCATGGGAATAAAGTTTTAAATGGAAGCAAAACAGACAATTCTCTGTACATAAAATAATGTAATAAGATTAAAACTTTGGCTTTCCATTGGTTATAAATAATATAGTCTTAAACATCAGAGAGAACTATTAGCAATTTGTGAAAGAGAGCATGGTAAAAGGGGTCTGATTTTCTATTTTATGACTCTGTAACCAAATAAGATTGAAGACTATTAAAATTATGCTTTGCCCGAGTGGTAACAATAATATAATGAGTAATTCCATACTTAATGGAGGGGTGGTAAATAAATTAAAGAAGGGATACCTAGAGAGCAAATATCACAATTTTCATAATATGGTGAGAGTAAGAACTTTTTTTAAATATCTTCTTATAAAATTAAGAATGTAAAGCTTATATAACATTAAAATTTGATTTATAAACTATGTTTTGATGCTGAGTTTATCCGTATACCATGATAATCAAGTAGCTTAATCAAATTTTGAATGTGGTGTGCAGGTCTGTGGTGGTATTGTCAGCAAAAAAAAAAAAAAAAAAAAAAAAAAAAAAAATTAATTTG